ATATATATATATATATATGTGTGTGTGTGTGTGTGTGTGTGTGTGTGTGTGTGTGTGTGTGTGTGTGTGTGTATGAATACACACATGCATATTTATACATACATACATACACATATACGCATATACAGCCATTTCCCAAGTATTTTAATTTGAGAGGCACTCCATCATTAAGCATCCAGTATCCTATAAGTATAATTGATATATATATTTAAGCTACATTGTTGTGTTTGTAACTTGTAATGTAGATAAAGATGTCCTGGGGGGCGCAAGTATACACGCGAAACATAAACACATGACTGTGCTGACCAGGTGTGTAAGCCTCTCTCACTCTCTCACACACACACACATGCATATACACGCTCGCACGCGCACACTTATACAAAGTGATTTATATATGTGTGTGTATTTGCTAAAACTGACATTCAGCCACTCCTTACCTTCTGTAACAAGCGGGGGCAGGTTAATTGTCGTTGCGCTGTACTCCAACAACAGCTGATTCACAGAAGCAGGGTCATTTCGGATTTGCGATTTATGCGATTCACTATTTGAGCTATAAGTTCTTTTACAAGTTGTGTTAAAAGGCTGTCTCCGTTGCCTGATAGTTGCACATTTATGTTGTCTATGTCGTCTTTATATGCATCAACAGCAGCTTTCTGTACATCGATTTCGCCAGCATTTCCAAGGTATATGATATCGTCAAGACTGGTTATCAAATCGCTTAAACTATACAGAAGTATTTTAATCTCCATATTGATACTGGCTGTTGTTTCAGGTGCTTTCGTGGCATCTGTTTCAAAGATCTGTCCAAGTGTAGTGTCTACTAAAGTTGTAGTAATTAATACAGTTCTGTGTTATCTGCTATAGTTACACTGTCTGTTACATTTATAAGATCTACTGCCATCCTGTTAGTTACAGGTGAAGTGCCTGTCGTTGTAGTCCTATCAATTACAGCTGCATTATCTGCTGCTGTTATTGTGCTGTTGTTGTTTTGTGTTTTCGCTGAGGCTGTAGTACCTGCTCCGGTTGTGATGACTGCATAGTCTGTTGTAGTTGCGGCGTCCTCTTGCGTTATAGTGCCTGTTACAGTTATGGTGTCTGCCATAGCTGTAGTCTCTCTTATAGATATATTTGTCTCAGTTGTAGTCTCTATCAAGGTTGTAGCATTCAGTACAGTATCTACTTTAGATGTAGTGTCTACTAAGATTGAAGTCTCTGGTACAACTATAGTGTCTATTGTGGTTGCGTAGGCTTCGTTTGAATTGTCTTTTACAGTTGCAATGTCTGCTATAATTTCTTTGGTTGTAGCATAAGTTAAGGTTGTGTTACTTTGGTTATAGTGTTTATGGCAAGAGTAGAACCTGCTACAGCTGTAGTACCTGCTGTGGCTGTGAACTGTCCTCCATCTACTACAGTTGTGATGTCAGCTAAACTGGTGGTGCCTGCTAAAGCTGTAGTGTCTGCACCAGTAGTAGTGTTTGTAATGGTTGTTTCCTCTGCTATAGTTGTAGTGTCTGCAATGGTTGTGGAATTTGATACAGTTGTAGTGTTTGAAACGTGGAGTTTGATACAGCTGTAGTGTCTACAATAGTTGTTGTGTCTGCAACAGTGGTTGTGTCTGCAACGGTTGTGGTGTCTGCTACAGTTGTGGTGTCTGCAACGATGGTGATAGCTGCAATAGTAGTTATATCTGCAACGATTGTGGTGTCTACTAGGTGTGGTGTCTGCAACAGTGGTTGTGTCTGCAACGGAGGTAGTAACTGCAACAGTGGTTATATCTGCTACAGTTGTGTCTGCAACGGTGGTGGTGTCTGCAACGGCCGTGGTATCTGCAATGGTGGTAGTATCTGCAACGTTTGTGGTGTCTGCAATAGTTATGGTGTCTGCAACGATTGTGGTATCTGCAATGGTGGTTGTGTCTGCAACGGTGGCAGTATCTGCAACGTCTGTGGTGTCTGCAATAGTTATGGTCTCTGCAACAGTTGTGGTACCTGCAATGGTGGTGGTATCTGCAACGGTGGTGGTTTCAGCAATGGTGGTGGTGTCTGCAACGGCTGTGGTGTCTGCATTGACTGTGGTGTCTGCAACGGTTGTGGTTTCAGCAATGTGGTATCTGCAACGGTGGTGGTTTCAGCAATGGTGGTGGTAGTTATTGGAGCTGGAGTAGTTATTGGAGCTGGAATAGTAATTGGAGCTGGAGTAGTTGTTGGAGCTGGAATAGTAATTGGAGCTGGAGTAGTTGCTGGAGCTGGAGTAGTTGTTGGAGCTGGAATAGTAATTGGAGCTGGAGTAGTTGTTGGAGCTGGAGTAGTTATTGGAGCTGGAGTAGTGGCTGGAGCTGGAGTAGTTGCTGGAGCTGGAGTAGTTGTTGGAGCTGGAATAGTTATTGGAGCTGGAGTAGTTGCTGGAGCTGGAGTAGTTGTTGGAGCTGGAGTAGTTGCTGGAGCTGGAGTAGTTGTTGGAGCTGGAATAGTTATTGGAGCTGGAGTAGTTGTTGGAGCTGGAGTAGTTGTTGGAGCTGGAGTAGATGTTGGAGCTGGAGTAGTTGCTGGAGCTGGAACAGTTATTGGAGCTGGATTAGTTGTTGGAGCTGGAGTAGTTATTGGAGCTGGAGTAGTTGCTGGAGCTGGAGTAGTTGTTGGAGCTGGAGTAGTTGCTGGAGATGGAGTAGTTATTGGAGCTGGAATAGTTATTGGAGCTGGAGTAGTTGTTGGAGCTGGAGTAGTTGCTGGAGCTGGAGTAGTTATTGGAGCTGGAGTAGTTGCTGGAGCTGGAGTAGTTGTTGGAGCTGGAGTAGTTGCTGGAGATGGAGTAGTTATTGGAGCTGGAATAGTTATTGGAGCTGGAGTAGTTGTTGGAGCTGGAGTAGTTGCTGGAGCTGGAATAGTTATTGGAGCTGGAGTAGTTGCTGGAGCTGGAGTAGTTGTTGGAGCTGGAATAGTTATTGGAGCTGGAGTAGTTGCTGGAGCTGGAGTAGTTGTTGGAGCTGGAGTAGTTGCTGGAGATGGAGTAGTTATTGGAGCTGAAATAGTTATTGGAGCTGGAGTAGTTGTTGGAGCTGGAGTAGTTGCTGGAGCTGGAATAGTTATTGGAGCTGGAGTAGTTGTTGGAGCTGGAATAGTTGTTGGAGCTGGAGTAGATGTTGGAGCTGGAGTAGTTGCTGGAGCTGGAACAGTTATTGGAGCTGGAGTAGTTGTTGGAGCTGGAGTAGTTATTGGAGCTGGAGTAGTTGCTGGAGCTGGAGTAGTTGCTGGAACTGGAGTAGTTGTTGGAGCTGGAGTAGTTGCTGGAGCTGGAATAGTTATTGGAGCTGGAATAGTTGCTGGAGCTGGAGTAGTTATTGGAGCTGGAGTAGTTGCTGGAGCTGGAGTAGTTGTTGGAGCTGGAGTAGTTGCTGGAGATGGAGTAGTTGTTGGAGCTGGAGTAGTTGTTGGAGATGGAGTAGTTGTTGGAGATGGAGTAGTTGTTGGAGCTGGAGTAGTTGCTGGAGCTGGAGTAGTTGCTGGAGCTGGGGTATAGGATGGAGCTGCAGCAGTAGTAGGAGCTGGAGAAGTTGTTAGGAGTTATTAGTAATTCATTTTTCTGTATGTGTTAGATTGTAAATGAATGTGTTGAATAGATATGTGTTTATAATTATTATTGCTAATCCAATTAATATTTTTCATAATTATTTTGGCTCCTGTTGAAAGAAATTTATTAGTAATTAAGCGGTATCATAGTAGGAGGAAATTGCAGCAATGGGAAACTACCAAAGAAAGGTAGAAAGACAAGACTCAGCGAAAAAATGCAAGGAAAGTTGAGGAACATGCATTGAATCATCAAAGAAATGCAGTAATCTAATTTCAGATGCAGTCTGCAAAACTAGTGATAAGATATGTTGCAAGGAATCTAACAGATGTCGAGAAAAGGGTTACAAATGTAGAAATAAATGCAACGGGGTTGTTAAAAATATTAAAGGCTGCAAAGAAGGCAAACTTTGCTGCATGTCAACTTGTAAAGGGAAAGGAGGTAAATGTCGAGATCCAAATACAAAAATAATGTGTTGAATCCCTCAAAAAAACTGTGGAGATGGCAAAGTCTGTTGTCAGAAGTTAAAGACTTGTAACGATCTGGGTGGTATATGTCTGTAGGAATCTAAATACTTAATATACTTAGTATACTTAATCCTTCCAAAAAGTATAAAGACGACAATTCTGTTGTAAAAAGTAAAAAAATATATATATATAAAGATTTGGGTGACATGTTTTTTTTTCTTTCTTCTTTGATGATTCAATGCATGTTCCTCAACTTTCCTTGCATTTTTTCGCTGAGTCTTGTCTTTCTACCTTTCTTTGGCAACATTGTTTCCCATTGCTGCAATTTCCTCCTACTATGATACCAACAGAGCATTTTTTCTTGCATATACCCTTTTGAGTAAGGCAAGTGTCTACAAGTCCTTTTCTCTTTTCAATGTTTCCGTCTTTTATATCTGCATTCGACTTTCCATCATTAATGTATTGTCGATTCAATTCCTTCTTAACAGGCTTCGTATTTTGAACTTTTGAACCATTTCCATTCCGTTTTACTTTAGTAGATTGCTATCTTAGCGTTTTTTCGTGCCTCTTCCCTTTCTTTGATTTTCTTCTTTCTGTGCCATTTTGAAATCTTCCCCTATTCTTGGGATTCTGCCTCACATTTCTTTCTTCTTGAGATTTCTTGCTATTATTTTTTTCATTATTTTGTTTTTCGTCGTTTGTGAGTTTTTAAAATTTATTTTTCCTTTTCACATTCTCTTTTACTCCTCTCTTGTGCATATATTTCTTTCTAGCACCTGGTTTACGTGAGCTATGTATGTTTAGATGTGACTCTTTGTTCTCTTCATTGGTGTCCGTTCGTTTTTCCCTTTTGGTCGTCATTTTTCCTGCGTTATAAAATATATTAAGGATAAGTTCTGCTAAGCAATATAGGAATAATGTATAAAACCGATTGGACTCTAGATTACAATTTAAAACATATGCCGCAAATTGGAAACAATTGGAAAACATCAGCGCTTTCTCCTTAAACTTGTAGCATGAGTTGGTTGTTGTGAAAATGCATACTGTTATTTGACGTTTGCTTGCAGCATATTCCCATTACACAGTCTTGTTTGCCAAGAGAAATAGTACATTCCCCAGGAATACACAAGCCACCTATGGCTCTGCATTTGCTGTTGGCAACTTCAATCACCTGTAACAGAGAAGAGTTTGTTTAAATCCCAAAAGGATGTTTTGTAAAGAGGATATGCAAACAAATAAAGCGAATGTGGGAGGAAACCCAGAAAAAGTGCATTCACTAGGTTTTATTTGCTTCTTCCCTGATGGCAGGTTCTATAATAAAGATAGTCCTTATCCACGATGACAGAAAGAACACCAAACAGATATAGGGATTGACTAAAATAAAGGTGAGAAAATTAATGTAGTGAAACGAATGTAAGAAAGGGAATGTCAACCATAACTTTATGGTTTTATGAAAGCAGGTCAATCCAATGTCCTTGATTTTGGATTTGTTTAATCTAATGTAACTTTAATAACATTTTAATAATCATAATATCAGTACGAATAACAACAGCACCGATACCAATAGTAATAAAAACAGATTTTCCCGCAATTTCAAGGAATGGGAAAATCAGGAGCGGTCACTGGGGCCCACTGGTAGACTCATTGATGGCTGAGCACATGTGGAATGTCGTTTTGAGCTTTATATTAGTAGATTGACATTCTGCTTTTATGATATTCAAAACACTGATATTCCACTTTAATAATATTCAAAACACCGACATTATTATCATACTCAAAACATTGACATAAGGAAACAAAAAAGAGATTTTCTCAGAGAAAATTCGTTTATAAAAGAAAGTCCACATTTGTATTTCATTCTTCCTCTAATGCTCAGAGGGAAACAAAACAAAACAAACAAACAAAACTGATAAAGGGTTCCAAGTTTGTCTTTCAGTTCTTTAGATTTTAACAAAAAGACTCGAATAAGGAGATATATTTTATTATTTGAATAAAATGGGCTGTAAAACTGTTAAAACCTCTAATTACAGAACCAAATTTCCTAGTTCTAAGTCTTTTACATAGTTCATTTGAAAAATTCATTGAAATTTTTCTTTTCTTTTCCTCAGTAAAAAGGGAAAAAAATACATACATATATATACGTGTATATATATATATATGTATGTGTATATATATATATATATATATATATATATATATATATATATATTATACATATATATACATACATATATATACATACATATATATAATACATATATATATATATATATATATATATATATATATATATATATATATATATATATATATATGTATATATATACATATATATATATATATATATATATATATATATCATACATATATATATATATATATATATATATATATATATACTTATGTGTATATATGTATGTACATACATATATATTTGTATACATATATATACATATATTACGTGTATATATATATATATATATATATATATATATATATATATATATATGTAATACATATATATATACATATATATATACATATATATATATCATACATATGTATATATATACATATACATGCACACACACACACACACACACACACACACACACACACACACACACACACATATATATATATATATATATATATATATATATATATATATATATATATATATATGTATACACGTAATATATGTAAATACATATATATACATAGATATGTATATATGTATATAAATATATATGTATGTACATACATATATACACATAAGTATCTATCTATCTATATATATATATATATATATATATATGTATAAATATACATATATATGCATTTATATACATATGTATGTATATATACACATATATATACACACATATGAAGATAAATAGATACCTGATAACTAGATTCAGTCTATCGTAATGTTGAATAAGTAATGCTTCACGCCCTATGAGTGACTGTTTTATGGTTAAGTATGATATAGCATATTCTCACTAATACATAAAATGATACAACTAGTAAATTTCAGCTGTGCACTATATATCTAGGAAACTTTTTGTGAAGATAAGTATTCTCTCTCTCTCTCTTCAGTACGGTAAAAACAATGTAGTAAAGAAACAAGTAAAATTTAAAATGAAAACAAATAGTAAAATAAAGGCATGGGGAAGTAATTAAAGGAAAATTATTAAATATTCTTGAAACATGAGCTTCGAACACACGCACAAAAAAGATCTACCCAAATTGTTAAAAAATCTTTGATCTTGAGCGAGACACCTAAAAAGTTTATATTTTAACCCTTGAATATTCCTGTAAAAAGCATTAATCAGAATTAATATTTCCAAAAGCAAAATATGTAGCTGAAGTTCCAATACTGAAGTCATACCTTTCCTGCATCTATCTCGATATACTGTCTTGTTCGTTCTTCGGTCACAGTGATATCTTCAGCTGTGACTGAGATCATTTTGCGTGTTTGTCATTCTTGAATATTCATGTTGCCAATAATCATCTCATTTTATATTCAAAAAGTGAGAAGATTTTCGGCTTACAAGTAAATTTTAATAAAGCAAAACCCTATGTTAAGTTTTAAAGAAAAAACCTATGTTCTGTTTTAAAGCAAAACCCTATGTTATGTTTTAAAGCAAAACTCTATGTAATGCAAAACCCTATGTTATGTTTTAAAGCAAAACCCTTGTTTTTTCAAAAAAACAGCGGATCAATTAATATTCTGTAGTCAAGTTATGAAATGGTGCTTCCCAATGAACATTACGATGAGTAACTATATAAGGAATTTTAAAGTGACAAGTAGAACTCGTATACACTTGATCGAAAATCTGTAGCAACGTAAGGTATCCCTTAATGAAAATAAGACTGCAAGAGACTGGAAGTAAGTTTTCGAATAGCAATAAGTACTATGAGTTTCCACTGGTGATTATTTTTAAAATACATATCCAGTTTGTAGTGGATAAACGTCACCCAAACGAATAACAGAAAAAATAAATAATTAAATAAAACGACGAATAACAGTTGAGAAAAATCCGGACGCTCACCGAAGCTGCTGGGTGATGATTCCCAGTTAAAAATGCCGCTACCAACAACACCAAAAAGACGCAAAGAGCCATGGCGTCTGATATGTTTTACCGTCGCTAGTGCCCACGACTGACTGAGAGTCTACTTTTTGCAACGACGCGAAGATGGTCCAGAAAAGTGGTTTCTCATTATTCAAGTTATTTTAGCGTTTCGCAGGTGTCGACAGTTTCAGATACAACGATACTCCCTTTTCACATGTCGTGCAGTTATAGTACATGCACTGTACAGTACACTTGACAGCATGATCATGAATATACCACTCTTTGTTAAATGTGTGGACATGAAAAAGCGAAGAAAAAAGTGGGAAAAGAAACTGGAAATAAAAGTATAAACAACATCCGGGTTCAGCCAGGGACAGATGTGTGGAGCACCACCTTCCGGTTGTTGTTTATAAAAAGGTTCAAACTATCATAATCGTAGTATGCAGATAAGGCTACGCAATCTTTTCTCTGCTCGCTTAACAGGCTATATGGAAGACTTATAAGGTGACAACTGAAACCTTAATAAATTGTAACTGCTTGTAGAACATCTCTGTAATTGATGCTCAATCAAGATCTTTATCAGGGTGAAGGAGTACTGAAATTGTATAAGGGTGAAAATTCCTTAAGTTGAAAAATTCCACAAGAGGCTGCAGAAGAGAGAGCTGATAGTTACTATCAAACAAACATATATCTATTTGAAGTAATATGTCCAATTGATGATGCCAATGTTCTCGGCCGTTAGTACGACAAATTATTTAAAATGGTCTATCAGGTCATCCATTCAAGAACTTATTGTATGTATCCTTTCACGGACAAGATTACAAGACAAGAATATACTGAATATAAGACCTCACCGCGGGGGGGGGGGGGGGGTTAGATATACATGCACAAGCTGTTCTAAGGTATTTCAAAGCATCGCCTTCATGATGAACATCAATAACAAAAAATGATGGTGGTAATTCTGATGGTGAGGACGGTGATCACAAAATAGTAATAATAATAGTTAATGTTATTTTTTTATGGCTATCATCTATATTATTATCATAGTCAATATTATTATCATCATTATTGTTGTAATTATTGATGTTCTTATTCTTTTTACTATTACTATTATTAACATTAGCATTAACATCATAACATTGATATGATAAGAATTGTTAACTTAGTAACTCAGTAATAATAATACAGTAGTTGTGGTAGCAGTAGTAACGATAAAGATTAATAATCAACAGTGATGATAATGACAATAGTAATGATGATAGTAATAATGATAACAATAATGATAATAATAATAGCAATTGTAATAATAATAAGAAGAATTATTATTATTATAGGTATCATTATTATGATGAATTTAATATTTATATCAAATATTATATCATATTAACGAAAATAATATTAATAACACTTATGATAACAATGATGAAGATAATAATAATGCTAATGATATCGATAATGTTTAATATAATGATAAAAATGATAATAACAATAATGATGATAGCAATAATTCTTATCATCATCATTATTATTAATATTTTATCACTATCATCAGTGTTATCATTAATTATTATTATTATTGCCATTATTATTATTATTATTGTTATCAACATCATTATTAGTATCATTATCATTATTATCATTAAGGTTATTATCATTATTTTTTATTATCATCATTATCATTATCATTCTTCTTACTATTATTATTATTATTTTATTGTCATTATAATTATTATCATTATTATCATCATAATTAATAAGAACAACAATAGCAATAATGGTGTTAAAATTGACAATTATAATAATAAAAATATTAGTAATAACAATAATGATGATAATATTAATAATGGTAATAACAATGATGATGATGATAATAAAAGTAGAAATAATCATGACAACAACAATGATAATAATAATGATAATGTTGATAAAATAATAATAATAACAATAATAACAATGTTGATAACAATAATAATGATAATAATCATTATGTTTATATTCTTAATATTGTTGAAAATACTAAAACCTAAAACAGATATAGTGATAATAATAACAATGTTAACAATGATCATAATAATGATAATAATAAGAAGAAGGCTTGAAGAACAAAAACAAAAATAAAATCGGTACTGCTTAGGATCATTATAATAATACTCTATGAATAGGGTTATGTTAATAAGGAAAGTCTAATGAAAGTGATTATTTTGATTTAATGGTAATGGTGATGATGATAATGATAGTAATAATGATTTCTAATTATTCAGTTATCTTATAGTTATTCTTATAGCTGTTACTATTATTATTATTATTATTATCATTATACGATGATATTGGCACTGATGGAAATAAGATTATTAGTTATGATACGAATAATAGTATTAAAAATTAAACAGATGGTAATGACCCAAATTATTATCACATTGGTAAGAATAATAACAATGAAAATAATAATGATACAGCAGTAACAATACTAGTATTTGCACTCTCTTTTCATTAGGCGCGATAAATACAAAGACAAAGAACTTATCTGTTAGCCGTAACAGTCGGGTTGGACAAATAGCATTTACTACATATCATGGCACTGTTTGCTGTGTCTCATATATCAAAGCTGCGTTCACATCCTTTATCAGGCACATGATGGTAGTAATGGTTGCGGCTGGTCAGAACTTGCGCTGCGCTACCCAGCGAGATAAATGGCACGCTTACCTCTAAAATATCGAGATACAGTTCTCTTTACAGTTCTTTTCTGTTGAAATCGAAATACAAATTTATGACATTAGAGTAAAGATTCGCAAAGATTAACCCATTGGTACCTTGCACTGCATACGTGACCATATTTCGTTTGTGCGACCATTTTATCGCCACAATCGAATTTAACGAAGCCTCCCCTTCGGTGTCTGCTATACATAACATTACAGAAAACGACTCGCCTTGATATTTGCTAGTATAGTCCGAACTGTGTGGTTATCGCTTGATTTTTTACTATAGTTATCAGTGTAATTGTTGTGACTGGGATTATTATTATCATTGTTTTCATTATCATCATAATCATCATCATTATCACCATCATCATTATCATTATCACGATTATTAACTTCATTATAATTACAATTACTTGCGACAAATGCCCCCACCCCTTATCATCTTACCCCCCCCCCCCACCCGTTTCCCCTTCCCCATCTCCCTTTTCTCCTTAAGCCTCCTTCCCCTCCCATCCCCTTTTCCTCCGTTCCCCTTTTTCTCCCTTCACCCCCCTTTCTCCCTCTCCTCCCTTTCTTTATTAAATCCTCTTTCGTCTTACCTTTCCTCTCCCTTTTTCTTCCCACCTTACTACTTAACCTCGGATCGTCTTATAAATGATAAATGAGGCCATAATGTCTAGAAGATTAATGATAAGAACAAAAATGGTTATAATAATAACGATAATAACATTACTGATATTGTAAGCAATAATGATAATGATAGAATTAGAATAGGATTATAGTAAATATATTGTATATCTTTGTGTGTGTGTGTGATACTTTAATACTTTTATCTGCAATTATCATCTCATTTTTTACAGTCAATCAGGCTGCGAAAAATCCCACGTCCGCACGTCTTTGACGAGTGTAAACTTGTGGAGGACAAGTACAATGTTTACCTCGCTTGTCCGCATGGACGAGTAAAAATTTCCAGTAGATTTTTCCCTAAAATTAATGAAATCTAGCAAGGTCTAGTTACTTTCAGTTCTATGATTATGGAGGCTGCCATATTTGTTTATAGTAGTTTCATATATTAGTTATTTATATTAGTTTCATATATCACAGTTGATAAATTTCTTTATAATATATATATATAAATATTTCGGACAAGTGGTATTCAGAAGAGGACGAGTGGAAAGTCAGGTGTACTTGTCCTCCTGGACAAGTAAAAAAAAAAATTTTTCGCAGCCTGTCAATATAGAATATTTTAAGCATAACGAATCCATCGACTATAAAAATAATAGACAACCTTCAAGTCCGCAGTCACGTGGAATTTCAGGGCAAGAGAAATGTGCATTAGCAGTAGTGTAAGACCAATGTTCTTGTAAAATTGTAAACCGACTAAATCTAGATTATTTAATGATTGTGTAGTATCGTCAACATTCTGGATTATATATGACGTGGAGATTCGAGTTCTGGAAAGGGAGATTTGTTATTTATCCATATCATTGTGCCACTTAAATATTCCATTTTTCTGTAACGTGGTTTTTAGCAGTAATATTATCATCATATTTATGACTGTTATCAGTAGTAGTATAATTATTTTTTGCTATTTTATTTCTATTATTGTTATTTTCCAATTGTTGCAATTATAATAATATTGTTGTTGCTGTTTGTTATTAGTTTCATCAGCATCATTTGGATATTATTGTCAC